TTGTAGGTATCAACTAGTCGTCGGCTGTACTATGTTGTTTGTGACGCTTTGTAATATTGTTAATAGGCTATAGTGCCTTGGATGAATTGTAATATTCTTGATATTGTTGATGACCTTGGAGACTGTATATGGATAATTTAATGGTTTTAATTTATTTCAGTTTTTAGTACTTGGTGGATGAGTTTTATTGATTTCTCGTGGTTTGCTTTGATTCCGCACTCTTAACATGTATTGATGTCATTCATACCTGAGTGACGTACGATCCCGCACTCTGTCGCCCTCCGGTTTAGTACGGCAGGGGTCAGGGAGCGGGGTCGTGAAAGGCTCATAAACCAAAATAGACATACTCGTAAACGAAAAAACTAGATAAAAAAAGATCATTCCAAAACGGTGTTTTTTTGTTGATAGATAACAGACATGATCGAGTAATGAAAAACTCGATCGAAAAAAACCATTTCAGAGGGGTGTTTTTAGGTTGACGGAAAGGGTCAATGGCAGTATCATATTAGAGTGGCTGGTGAGATTTCAGATGGATCTGAAACATGAGATCAAGATCATGAGGCAAAAGAAGGAGAAGAGCAACCAACTCTATCTCTATAAACAGAGAACTTGATAGGGCAGCAACAATTTGCACGATCCAAAACTTTTGCGCCGTCAAAAGTTTGCACTAGGAAGGGGTGTTGAAGTGGTCCAGGAACTTGCAAACTTGTACCGTCAAAAGCAAACTTGTTGCTTTGCATATTAAACAAAACTTGTTGGAACACTTGTTGCTTTGCAAACTTAAATTGTCACGGGATTTGCCGAGCAAACTGGAGCTTTCGAACAATCCAATAGTAGGGTACTAAAATTCCCAACCTCAAATATGTCATTAGGGTATTAAAATTCCCTGACCTTAGATCTGAGGTTGGCGAGCTCATATATGAGGTTGAGGAGTCTATGGTTCTGATACCATATTAGAAACTGTATTTCTATATATTTGAGCCTTAGGCCCCCATGGAAGATTATTTTATAATAGTGCAAAGAACTCTCTCTTTATTAAAAAGTTAAGAATAAACAAGACCCTATATAAATATACGACCAATAACAATTAAAGATAAATACCAACAATTATGGATAGACACCACCTAATCTTATCAAGAGATATGCATCCATATAAATGTATATCCATACTGATATGTATCATTATGATACATAACCATATCCATATGTTAACACCCTCCGTACTTATATGTATCATTATGATACATATCCATATCCATACGTTAACAGATGATGCCGGCATTTATTGTCATTTTTAAAAATTGAGCAATTTTCAATTGAACCTCGTTACTAATTCTTCTACTTGGTCTCTCAATCGGTTCAATATCCTCTATATCACGCTCTGGTATTAGCTCAGGCTTGAGCACCACTTGAAGGTTCTCATGTTGATCAAGTAAATGAGCATTACGGCAACTGTTGACAAAAGATAGAGTGTAAGATGAAGAAACAATTTGTGCACATAAAATATTTAAATAAAGCAAATTAGATATGAAAATGTAAATTGTAGATGTACTAATTTCTGAAAAAGGGCCAATTACCAACAAGTTCTGCTGCTTGGAATTCCATAGATCTCTGCTCCAACTCTATTGCAGAGGCAATATATACAACAATACTTGAAGACTCCCCTCCCAACATAAAAGATACATCTATACCATCACTTACATCAATCAAATCAAGGTCACTAGATAGACTTGTGTTGTGGTATATAATAGTCAATTTGTTTGAATCACACGATGTTAAATTCCCAAAATGACTTTTTAGTTCCTCCAAGGAACTATTTCCTTTATACTTCGTAGCCTTCAATTTTCCCCTTTTATAAACAACACGCATCTGGATTCGTCTCACCCCCATATCGAAATACCAATTGCATTCCCTCGGTAACTATCGTCAATGCTATTGTATTAAATGAATACCAAAATTCGTGTTACAGAAAATTCATACAATAAGGAATATAAAAAATTTGGATATATCTAATTAATTTAGGGTTCATAAAATGTGTGTTACACAATAGATCAAAATAGTGTACTACTAAAAAAATCAATTATTGAATAAACCCCCAAAACAACAAATATTAATACAAACATAAAATAAACAATAAATATTAATCCAAACAAACAAGTTGAACAACCCAAAACAATAAATATAATATATCAACATAATGTACTACTAAATAAATCGATTGTTTAATAAACTACCCAAAACAAATAAACAAAAAATAGTAATGCAAATAAACAACTTCGACAATATTTACCCCAAAAAGTAAACTTCAACAATAGACAACAAATAGTAATACAAAAAAAATATTGTACTAATTGTGACAAAATTAATCAACTGTATAAGCCAAGAGTAAGAAAGGTACCAATCATGACCAAACTAAGAGCTAATCTCTTCAAGTATGTGGGATATTGTATTGGGGGACAGAAAAAATTGTAGGATACTGTATTAGGGGACAAATGTTTTTTGGAACCTTAAAAAATAAGAACAATGCTCCTACATGCTCGAATGATAAGGTTAAATGGGTTTTGTTAATGTGAAAACTTTCGGTTTTTGAAAAACTGAAACTAAAAAAATTTCAGTTTTGCAAAAACCGAAATTCCAAAAATTTCGGTTGTTCAAAAAACGGAAAAGGGTAAAACGTCTTTTTTAAAAAATTTCGTTATGAAGTGAAAAAAACGGACATACTAGTAATAACAAAAACTATTTGGTATTTTAGTAATAATAGAAACTATAACAAATATTTACGTAATTTTTCTTAAAAATAAATATCTTAAAAATCATTGCTCACTCAATCTCTTTGAATAATCATTATGCAATGCATGTGCCATTAGCTAGTTGAATGTGAAGTACAAATTTTATGTGAAATATTATTACCGTTGTAGATCAACCTTTATTTGTATCTTGTAATTTTATTTGTATTATAAACATGATTACCTTGACCAATTTTTACATGCATGTTCGCTAGGATTGCATTACCCTTAAATAAGATTTAATCAAGATTCAAGGGTTGTGGGGATCAATTAAGGGTGTGATTATATACCCAAATAAACCAATAAAAAAAAGGAAGATAATCGGTAACTGAGCTCTCTCATAAATGAGATATCTAGACTATTTTTTTTCTTTCTTTTTTAATGTTAACCATTACTTTCATTGATATCTAAAATAGGGTGTGGTTTGTCTAAGGTTGCAACCTTAAACAATTAAAGTAAGATGCACCTCTAAATGTTATCATAAGACGTAATTTTCGTGTCAAAAAATCTTCGGATAGTCTAATTTCTATTTTCATCTCCAATTATGTAACTTTAAACTTCAAATATGGTTCAAATCAAGTAGATCTATAAACACAGACTGAAAATCTTTGGGACTTGAAATATTATAAGCAGATAATATGTTACAAGATTTACTATTTTCGGGACTCGATATCTTTCTTTTTTTATATATTCATATATCTCAATATCGAGATGATCAATTAGAGATTTTTTTAAGGTAATTCAATTGGGAAAGACAGACTCCTACCCGTTTTTCAAATAGATTAAGAAATAACTTTTTGCAAAGTATTAATGGGGTGGTGTTAGTAGTGAGAATAAAAACCACAATGTGGTGACTTGGGTGTGAGGTGTTACTACCACAACTCAAGCCACTTTTCCAAAGTGATAAGTTAGTGGGCATTTTTGGGCCTACCTACCTTTTGGTGAGAATGGAGTTAGAGACCTCATCATGGGCATCGACAATACCACCGCCAAGATCGCATAGCCTGGTGGGATTTGAACCCTCACCAAAATGGAGGGTAGGCATACACATTAACCACCATGCTAATTGAGCATTTCTAAAAAAAGTGGTAAGTGGGTGGGGATTTGGGCACTACTTTTTGGTGAGAATGGAATAAAAAACTCATCATGAAACTCAGCAATACCGTTGTTAAGACCCTAGGCCATTCAAATATTTTTCAACATCAAAACAACCTATTCCAATAGATTTTTGAGATTGATCTTATTTCCCCATTTTAAGATTGCAACCTTATATAAACTCTTTTTTCTAAAATAATATCCTCCATTCATTATTAGGTTAACCAAGTTTTCCAATTTAATACAAACTGATATCAATGATTGATTTGACTTTGGTAAAATCTTAATAAAAAAGTTTGATTAATAAAAGGAGGAGATTAAAGTTTGATTCTTTGAAGCCCTCACACTAAAATAAGGTCTCATAATGCAAAGATGACATGGCATAGTGATCGTAGCCAATCCAAGGAACATCAAAAATATAATATAATATATTGGACTATTAAAAACCTTTCTCTATGCGTTATCGTCTTCCTGTCCACACGGTGATCCATGTCCATCAAAGTTCAATGGGTGATCCATGTCCATCAAAGTTCAATGGACTACATTTCTCCCCTCCTCAGGATTACGGAAAAAGTGGGCTTCAAAGTTTAAATAGTGCGTCTGGTAAGGAAAAAGTTTGTATAAGTGGGAGGCTCTAAATAATCAAATTAGGGCTCACCTCAAAAATTTCATTGTAAGAGGTCGTTTTGATATCACAATGCATGAACATTAGAAAAAAATATGTTTTAAATTTTAGAAATAGTGCATCTTGTAATGTATTTTTGGACCGTTAATTTTTAAGATTTTTAAATTTTTATAGTTATGCTCTATCTACACTATTTTGAAGCTTTAAATTTTATAATTAGAGATGAAAATATATTTTAAGGCTATTACAATGATTTCTAATATTGCAATCACATTTCTTGACTCTATTTCAAGTGTAAATTTGCTTGATCTACACTATTTTAAAGCTTTAAATCTTATAATTAGATATGACATAAATAATTTAAGCCATCATATTGAAACAAAATCTTTTGATACTATTTGAAAGTGTGCCTTACTTTGATTGTTTAGAGCCTCGGCCTTATACAAACCATACCATGACGGAAAGAAGAACACGAGTGTTGAGGCTATTTGACGAGGGACCTAGAGACGGAATACAGGCCTTGAAGAGAGAGAAAGTGAGAGAGAGAGAGAGAGAGCGAAGCCAATGAAAACGTAACGCGTGAGAGAAGCAAAACGTATCAGAAAAAGAAGAGAGAGAACGGGAAGGAAAGGCCCATGGACGAAGTGTTGGTGGCTGGAGATGGCAGACCTTTCTTCTTTAACAACAACAACAACAACACCACCACCCCTTCCTCTTCTTCTTCCCCTGTTTCTCTCTCTAATCTCCCTCTCCTCTCCTCTTTCCTTGCTTTCGCCATTGCTCAGTTCCTCAAGCTCTTCACCACCCGGTAAACTCTCTCTTTCTCGCTCTCTCTCGATAATTGGTTTTGATAATTGGTTTCTCTGTGCTTTTTTAGGGTATTAATAGAACCCAATTCTGAGATTTATTTTATTTTATCCCTCTGATTGCGTGTTTTTAGAATTGAAGTTTTGCTGGACTTGGGCATGCCTGTAGCATAATATTGATTTGATTGATTGTTTTTTCGTCTTTGATAGATATGATTTACTGTTTAAATGTGCCCCATTTGTTTTAATAATTTAATTTTTGGGCATGTATTGCGAATGAATTATTGCTTTTCTAATAAAATTTGATGATTTTGTGATGGATAATTTGTTCAAAATGAAACATTGAAAGACCAATATGTGGGACTATTTGCAGGGAATTTTTCCCCATTCAAATTAAACGGTAGAAATATCGACTGAGTTTATTACTGTTATTTTTTCAGTGAACACTCTGACTAAATTTCTCTATGGTCAGTCTCAAGTGAAATTTGTGTGGATATGGATTTTTTGAATAAAAATAAGAAAGAAATTGGATTTCTGAGTTCCCTCTTAGAGTGCCTATCAGTCTTTAGGCGTCTCTCGTTGCTCTCTCTCTCTCTCTCTCTCTCTCTCTCTGTTACATGAGCTGCTATACTACTGTTTAACCTAGGTCACACAAACATCTCATGCTTTATGAATTCCTGCTGTTTGAAAAAATTAACTTATTCCCAAATAATTTCATCAAGCATTTCTGTTTTTGAGGCACTTCCAAATGGTTATTTGTAGCTCATTTGATGCTAATGCGCATTTACTATGCCTCATTGGTGAAAAGAATAATAATGCATAAATGGCACTTTAGTTGTTAGATCTTTTGGAAGGGAAATCTTTTTCTTTTCACAATTCACAAGCCATTTGGTCAATTTCAAAAAAATTCACAAACCAATTGATCAGTCTAAAAGAAAACAATTCACAACCTACTAATCTAAATTATATTTTGCTTCTCAGACTAATAGAAAACAATGCACAACCAATTAGTCTAAATTATATTTTGCTTCTCATTAAGTATCCTTTATGGATTTTAAGCATTTGGATTTTATTCTAGACTTTCAGGTATAAGGAGAAGAGATGGGATGCCAAAAGGCTGCTTGGTTCAGGTGGAATGCCATCTTCACATGCTGCAACTGTCACAGCACTTGCAATAGCCATTGGCTTAAGAGAGGGAGCTGGAAGCTCCATGTTTGCGCTTGCTGTGGTGGTGGCATCTGTTGTATGTTCCTATAACTTGATCGCCATTTGTTTTTTTAGTATGCATTGTTCCATTCCTTATTTTATCAATCCTGAGTAAATGATTTTGTTAAGCGTTCGAGCATTATAATGATTTGATTTGTTTTCTTTCATTGGTAACTTATAATTCATTGGGAGTCAAAACAAAAATGACATAAAGAGAATATGATCTAACTTTTGAGGCAATTAGAAATCAAAAGACTCAGTTGTATCCCTTGACAATACTCATGTTAGCTTCCCGACAACTAGATTTTCAAGGCATATGGCGGCAAGGACAATAACTGAAGATTGAACAGTGGGATGGCAATGTGATCGATATCGACCCTGTGCATAACAACCCGATTCGTATCTAATGTTAGACGTTTACTCGTGTGTTCATAAATGGAGCACATTTGATCAGAAGTAGAGACTTGGAACACTTGAAGTAGGAAAACATCAAATGATCTTGTCTATGTCCTCTGCTCTATAGTGGAGCATGAAATAAAAAAGAAACCAAAGCCGCCATACTAGTTGATTAAATTGATATGAAGATGAGAGGTTCTTTGAATTTCATTTTGGTATCCCTGTTACTGAGGAAACATGAGCTGGTTGGACCAAAAGATATATCAAGATATGGATTGATCCTAAGAAGATGATAAGGATGTGTAGGTCATGTGTGATTATTTTGGGCTTGTAGTAGTGCAGCACATAGTGGCGACTAGAGACAGGATAACATGTGCAAGATGGAAGTTGTTGTATTCTCTTATTACTGTTGGAGCATATTTTGGTTAGTAAATCTTGGATTTGAAACTCGGATATTAGTGTTGTGGCCCTCGCATTTTAAGTGCTAAGCCTGGAGCCTGAACCCAATATTTGGAACTTGGAATATCAAACTTGGTTGTTTGATTTTTTGGGCTTTAAATTTTCTTCTATGTCTTGATTCTCAAGATATCTTTTATTACATTTCACTTTGTCCATTTATTTGGAATGCACCTGCTCCTCCAAGAGTGTTGACCTTCTCCTTGTGGCCTTTCTCGACAATATATTGATCACCTACACAATTGGGCTCAACAGATCCCAAATATGTGATTGGTGTGTAGATGGGGAGACAGTGGACCATTTACTTATTTAGTGACCAGTGGCAAGTGCGTTCTGGTACTTCATGTTTATCATGTTTGGGCTACAGTAGGTGGCTCGGCCATATATAGCCAATGTTACCATATATTGGGGCTTGTTCCACCTATTGAACAGATGCAGAATATTGTGGATAATGTCAACTTTGGGCAGTTTTTGCAGCTTATGGAGGAAATAATTGGGTGTTTTGAGATGAAAACACTCTGTTGTTATTCTGACTGAGAGTGTCACCAGCATAGTAATCTCTTGGGCCTTGATCCTCCCAGAATAAAAGGCCTATAGATCAGTGGATCTGCTTAAGTGGATACTGCAATGTGGCTGGATCCATGTTGCCCGGGAAAAGAAGGGTGAAATTGTGGCATAAACTGATTGCGGAGCCTTTCAAGCTGAAATTGATGGATGTGCTGGGGGCTATGTCACGAGTACATGGAAACATGCGTCTGCTTCCAGCATAGATATGAGTGTCACAAATGCTAACACCAAAAAATGGCCTTTTAGACATGATATGCCTGTACATCATAGAGTGTAGAGAGAAGAGGGGAGAGGGATTTAATTGACATTAATATTCGACCAGAAGATTAAGAAGTGTGTAAGTTACTAAAGTGCTAAATGTGGTTGTTATGTTCTTAATGTGTTGAGACGTGCCAAAACCTATGGACACATATGTTCAAGTTACATAGGCTAGGGGGAATCCTTGGTTAGCAGGAATTGTTTTTTTTTTTTGATAAAGTTAATATTGTAGGTTAGCAGGAATTGTTGTTGTTCTTAGAGAGTACAATGGGCAGACATTAATGTCTTACAATGGTTCCTTGGAGGTTTGTAATGCTACTTTAGCATAAATGAGTGCTTTGTTGCCTGGAATCAAAATAGGCCATACTTCCCATATAATTGGTACATGAAGCCCTTATGTGAGATGTCTAAATTGATCTCCTCCATTCATTACTAAGGTTAACCAAGTTTTTGCAATTTAAGATGAAGTTAATGTCAATGATTAATGTGACTTTTGGTAAAATATTTAATCAAAAAGTTTGATTGATAAACTGAGGAGATTAAAGTTTGATTCTTTGAAGCCCTCACACTAAAATAAGGTCTCATAATGCAAAGATAACATGGCATAGTGATCTCCTTAGCCAATTTAAGGAACATGAAATTATAATTATTATCTTGGACTATTAAAAACCATGGTCTCTGCGTGATCACTGTATGGTGATCAATCTCTATCAAAATTCAAGGGACTGTGTTTCTCTTCTAGTCCTTGGGATTACAAAAAATCAGAACAGGCGATTGACCTTCAGTTTGTGGCTTTTCTCAGCAAGATATTGATCATCTACACAATTGTGCTCAACAGATCCCAAATATGTTATTGGTGTGTGGATGGGAAGACAGTGGACCACTTACTTATTTAGTGACCAGCGGCAAGTGCGTTGTGGTCCTTCATGTTTATCATGTTTGGGCTATAGGAGGTGGCTCGGGCATATATAACCGTAGTTACTATAGAGTAGGGCTTGTTCCCCTTTATCCAACAGAGGCAGAATATTGTGGACAATGTCAACTTTGGGCATTTTTTGGAGCTTACAGAGGAAATAATGGGGTGTTTCGAGATGACAAAACACTTTGTTATTCTGACTGAGAGTATGACCAGGATGGTAATCTCTTGGATCTTGATCCTCCCGGAATTAAAGGGATATATGGATCTTCTTAAGTGGATGCTGCAATGTGGCTGGATCCATGCTGCCTGGGAAAAGAAGGGTGACATTGTGGCATAACCTTATTGTGGAGCCTTTTAAGCTCAAATTGATGGATGTGCTAGGCTATGTCACAAGTATGTGGATACGTGCATTTGCATCCAACATAGATATGAATGTAACAAATGCTAACACCAAAAATGGCCTTTTGGACATGACTTGCCCGTACATTATAGGGTGTAGAGAGACGAGGGGAGAGGGATTTTAGTGATATTTAGGTATTTTATAGTGTTACTTCGACCAAAGAGTTAAGTGTGTAAGTTTATAAAGTGTTACATGCGGTTGTTGTGTTGTTGGTGTGTTGACACATGTCAAAACCTATGGACACGTGTGTCCATGTTATATAGGCCAGGGGAATCCGGGGTTAGCAAGAAATATTGTTTTTCTTCAAGAGTCCAATGGGCAGACCTTAATCTCTTACAAGGGCTCCTTGGGGATTTGTAATGCAACTTTAGCATAAATGCGTGCTTTATTGCTCAGTATCCAAATAGACATTACTAGATTATATTTCCTATTGGAGGTTGAGGCATATAGTCTCAATGGTATTAGTTGTATTAAAAGAAATTTCCAACAAATAGGGAGATATCTGTTTTATGAAGGAGATATGGGAACTTTGTGAGAATAAGGTGGTTTACTTTACTCACATTCGGTGTGGTCAGATTCGCTTCGCTTTGGCCGAAGAAGCCAAAGCCTTTGAATTTTTGGCCTAGACCAAAGCCAAGTGAAGCCTGGTGGTGCCGTTCTGGTCAGCTTTAGGTTTGCTTCAGACGGATTCGGCCAATGCAAATAAATATTTATATAAAAGTATTTTTTATTTTTTAAAATTTTTATTTTAAAACTTTTTCATTATTTTTATATATTTTTATGTCATCATCACTATAGCCTTTTCCCAATTAATTGGATAAGTTTTGGCAAAATTTCACATTGGCTGCCAACCTAACACAACCCAACCCCTATACCCAAGCATGGGATGGGTTAAGGGAAAGTTATTATTTATATTAAAATTTTAAAAAGGTCCGAAGTCTTTTCCTGAATCGGCCAAAGCACTGAATTGCTTCATTTTTCTCACCAAATCGAAGAAAACTCTGAAGCTAATCTGACAGCATGGCTCACATTTTCAAGATGGGAATGATTATGCAGACAGGCTTGCTAAGGATGGGACCAATCTAGAGGCCCTAAGAATTTCTTTTAATTATGATGTTCCCATTTTGTGATGACACTTATTTATCTGTTATTGTTTAACTGGTTTTTACTCTTTATTATAATCAATAAGTTTTGCCTTGTAATGTTTCTATTACTTCTGTGGATGCCTTGGCTGAGTTGGGGGCTGTCAACACATCCATCCCTAGTCCTCAATCCACCCTGAAGTATAACTCCATCTTTAATTTCTGCTTCTTTTAGCTTGCTTAGTCATTATGCGAGACTGAGCAGTTAATTTTTTGGAAAGACTCTTTCTTACATTGTCTTCTGTGTGCTGCAATTTGTATATGTATCACTTTATATACCTATTTAATCTTCTCACAAAAAAAAATCTATTATTTCATACATTTTTATTTTTTTGATATATCATGGTTTTGTATATATCATTCTTCATGCTTTTCTTTATGGGGAAATGTTATTACTCATGCTGGATGGCATATGGTATTTTTTATGGAACCATATTCACTTTTTTTGAACTCCTGTTTTGCCTTGTAATCTTTGTCCAACAAATAGGGGTCATCTTATGACAATTGCACTGAACTTCAAAATTATTAAAAAAAGACTCTAGCATTGTGGACTATCTTATTAAAATAAAGAGTATTTCTTATCAACTTGTAGCCTTTCAGTGTGTACTCAGTAACCTTTCCCCATGGGAAAAAAAACCTAAATAAATGACCTCTTTACAGACAGGATGGTAAACTGACAACCCACAAGACCTCCCAGTAATCCTAACATCCTGCAGAACATCTCAAACAAGTTTAGGGAGAAGTGCTTGTATTTTGTTTGTTTTTTTTGAAGAAATTTTAACTAAGTGCCTGTATCTTGTTCACACATGGTTAATGAAAAAGGCGGTCAGTAATTTCCTCACATTCTTGAAGAATGTGTTAGGGTGTTTCAATTCTAGATAAGGCTATCGGTAGGTATCTGAACCCCTTAAAGGGCATCCGACTAAGACAACGTTGTTTTCCTCGCCCATTAGGTTATTAAGACAAGATTGGTGGGTGTGGGATGGCTTCATACTTTGTAAAGCCTCTTCTCTAAACTATACGCCATTGGAATACCTAATTTTTAAGAAAGGAATTTAATTTGCCCTCGTCCCTGCCCCCCTGCATTTCTCTCCCCAAACCTTATATCACTTCAAACTTGCCTAAGAAGAATTCCACCTTGAAACATCTGAGCACAATTCTATCTTCCCAATACCTATGAAAAAACATTATTTAAAAGCAAGCTTGAAAAGTCCGCATGCAGTGTTGAATTTTCTTATGAGGGAAAAGATTGGGTACTGGTCGCTATGTGCTTATGACTTCCATGGGAAGTTGGACAGCAGGGGAAATGTGGCAATCATGGGTTGTTGGGTATAAAATTCCTGATGATGACTCAAAATATAGATTAAAACATTTACGAAATGGAAAATTTTCCCTTCATGGGTTTGTGAGTCTGTAACATTGATATGATATTCTAACCCTAGTTGAAATCAGCATTTTGCCAAAGCTTGGGAACTTGTCAGCCGCAGTCTAATTAGAGAGTTCTTTCTTGTCAAAGTTGGGGACAATGAATATTTGTTATGCTCATTTTGTTGCTTATTTTATAGCTAACATAATTTTTTAAATTCATTTTATTGCTTCTGATTTTGTTGGTTAGCATTATTATGATATTTGCTAGTGCAGTTCCATGAGGGTCTACTTTTACAGTGATGTCATATATGTTTATGACATTGAGCTATCAATCAAAAAACAAAATGCATATAACTTTGAGCTACATGATTAATTTGTAGGTCATGTATGATGCATCAGGGGTTCGGTTGCATGCTGGTCGACAGGCAGAGGTAGACCTCTTTAATGCAATTGTTATTGGATTTCTTCTTATGTTTTTTGGAAATCCTACATTATGCTCTTTGAATATAATGAGTGGGTGGTTCATTGTTGCTACCGGTGAGACTATTCAAATTTTAGCATATTAGTTAAATATGAGTGTTCTGGAATCCCAATGCGTATAGATGACTATATTACATTGGAAGACACACTGTTGTTCATCTGATTATTTGGAGTATTGTTGTGAAGCTTAACTAGTTTCTGGTTAACTTTTTTCTTTGAATCAGACTGGTTTCTACTTTTTGTGGTACATTTTAATCTCTTTTTTATATGTCATACACAAGACACCCGTTGTTCTGCAGTAATTTTCTTGGGATAGATGCCTGAATCGAGCTAAAGTTGGAGTGAGAGCTAAGATGCAGCAATTTTCATATGTTAACTAGTTCCAGGAACCTCAGAAATATTGTGATATATTTTATTGAAAAATTGAAATTATACAATTTTGTCGAGTTCTTTAATTTGTGATGCCAATATTTTTGTTAGTGTTTTTGGATAGTATTTGTGTTAACACAAACTTACACTTGCAGTACTGCAAAGATCCACGAAAACCAATAGATGGCAATGCACTTCTGCTCACATTTTGTGAAGGGTATCCATCATGCTCTCTAGAGTTTATTCATTACAGGACAGTGCTTATATATTAATTACAGATTGCGGTTCCTGCATGGAGACTGTTAACTAATTTTAAAGGAAGTATTCTATAATTAATTCACTATGGAAAAGCTGTAATCCGTTGGGTCTTCCTCCAATTAAATGATGCACAGTGATGGAGAATGCGAGGACCCACCAAAAGAGGGTATGACCTGAATAGCAGGTCTCAAACTTTCTTGCATCATTGCCCATCATTTCATTGGATGCTGATTACCTGAAGGCCTTTTCTATAGTTGATTGAGTTATTGTATTCATCCTTATCAATCAATCCATGATGTATAACAGAGTTGCAGTTATTGCTTCACCCAAAACCCCCCACAGAAGCTTTTGGATTTAACAAAATTTTACATATCTCATATCATACTTCTTCAGTGCTTTGATAATCTTGTCTTGGAATGCAAACAATGTTGAGTGACTGAATTTATCTTTCATTTTCATCTCTTTGGTATGACTGACCTCTTGGTATATGATCACTGCTTGATCTATTTTTCTTATTTCTTTATTTTTGGATGGGGTGCAGGGGTGTGTGGTGGGATCTCTGATTTTGTAATGAACTTGATGCTGAAGTATTATATAGTAACTTTACTTCCCTGAAGTACTGTATTATCTTGGTCCTGAGACATTCAGTTGTCTATGATTTTTCGTGTCTAGGCAACTGTGATATATGTGATTTCTAATGTTTACTTGATAAAATAGGCTTCTTCTCACATGCTCGTTCATTTTTACTGACTTTATTATTGACTGCCACATGGAGTGCAGTTGTTGAATCAAATAGTCTGTGAACTGCCACCAGAGCACCCTTTGTCAACTGTCAGGCCTTTAAGAGAACCTCTTGGTCATACTCCAGTACAGGTGAATTTCTAAGACTGGTCTATTCCTTTGTAGTTTGTACTAATATGCTTTTCTACAGCACTGTAATATTTGTGCGTTTTTGTTGTGGATATTTACTTTGTCATCAGCTTTTGGTCCAAACACCTAATAAGCAAATAATAGATTCATTGTCCAATTGTTCAATTCCCAGTTAGTCATTCGCTGCCTTGCAACATAACAAGGTTCAATCTATTTTTGTTTCGTTTGGGTCTGAGATGACTTTAAATTAAGGCAGGTCCAAGTAAAAAGTGCTAAAAAATTCTATTTTGTTTTTAAGTTCTTTAAGAAAATCGGGGCATGAGTTAAACTACCTCCGTCAAGCAAGGCATCCTTTCATGGAGTTGATGAATCTGTACACTGGTGTTGCTTGTTGTTGGTGTATGGTACCTGTAGTTATAAACTATATCTTAAGTCTTTATTGGTTTATCTAGAATTTGATTTTCTCCATTGTGTCAACTTGTTTTTTTTTTTTTTTTTTCTGACAAGGTTAGATAGGAATGTGTAACTTGAAACGTTGTGCTATGAAAACCCAGCATCTACCGTTTTGACCAAGCCCAATTCCTGTTGTGTTTACTGTTTTTCCTTCTTGTTTTTGAAATTCCTATTGTGTTTACTGTTTGTCCTTCTTGTTTTTGATAAAATACATTAATGCTTATATGGATAACGTCCAACATCCATCTGGAATACACAGAACACACATGGAGGGTTAGCTCCTCTTATTTTGCCACTATGTTTGTGCAGGTTGTTGTTGGTGCTGTCCTGGGATGTATGGTAGCCTACCTGATGAGAGAAACTCCTAACAACATCAATTGAGATGGAACAAATGGATCATTTGTGTAGTAATGAACTGGAAATGTTATCTTGTACTAGTTGTTCGTTTAGAATGGAAGGAAGAATTGACAAGCAGCTTGGATACTATGGAGGCTGAAAAAATTACAGCCATAATGTGAAACAAAAATCAGTTTCTTTAGGGGACAGTGGTATTTTTCTCTTCATTGTATTTTTTGTGGATTTTCTAGGGTTGGCTATGAATGGATTATCCATGGGAAGTTGGTTTTTTGCAGAGCCTTCGTTTTTTTTTTCCCTTTTAATAAAAGTTATGGCCACTCGGATGGCGCTGGCAAACATTTGTTCAACACAATACATGTGAATTCTTTAATTTTAAATTAGCATAGTTAGTGTGTTTTTTGGATAATTCAGTGGTGATGGCAGAGCCCCTACCTGTTTTTGAATTAGATGGTGGTTTTTGAAACTCAGTGGAAATGGAAGCCAAAATGTGAAAGTGAGGTATGGGGTGTGTTACTACCATAACTTCAGCCCTTTTCCCACATAGGTAGTTTTCGAATCATAAGAACACGTAGTCATTAATATCCACATTCCTTTTACATGAAATAGAAAATTAGGAAAACCAAAAAACTAGGAATTTTCTAATTTAGAATTGCAAATGTTACAGAGCCAAATATGAACTATTTTGAGAACATTAGGGCATACCAATTCCCTTATTTTAACTTTGCATAAAATGTTCTTTTCAAAACTAAAAATTGATAACCAAAAAAACGCCCCAAAAAAGGAACAAAATTTCTTAGTGTTCTTAGTTACTTTTACCTTGAAAATAGATAACTAATTGAACCTAAAAGAAGATGCATTTCTTATCCTAAACATATATGCAAGGGAGAGATTATCTTTACCATGGGTACAAGAAGTTCATGGTCTCCCCTAGCCATTATATTGAAATTGAGATGTCGAGGGTGCGCAAAGTCCAAAAAGGGTACGTTTTTGGAAATGTGGTCCATAGTACACTCCTAGCTCCTAGCCACCCGATATCCTAACCGATGGCAAAGGGTGAATTTTGCCTTTTGAACTAAAAGTAAACTGGAGTTCATTTATCATTTATATTGGTATACATCATTTCCTTAAAATAACTGTACATGAAAAATAAAGAAAACCAATATCTTTTAACTTGGTATATGACAATCTCTTAAAAAAATATATGATAAAATAGCAAATGAGAATATTTTGTACTATTTGAACCAATTATTTTTTTTTATAGAATATTACAAAAGCATAGAGTTCAAGAAATTATTTTGCTAATCCTATGTGTAAGGAAATACTTTGGAAACATAGTAAAAGTTCTTCCCTAACTACAAGGTATAAAAGTTTTTTTTTGGGGGGTAAGTACGAGGTATAAAAGTTAAGACACGGAAAAGTTACTCCCTGGAGTTATTAAATATTTTCCAATATTCCCTGAAGATATTAAATATTTTCCACATTAAAAAATTTGCATACTAAATATTTTGCACACACAAAATCTACTTTATAATTAAATTATAATTTTCATATTACGGATTCATTGTAATTCTCATATCATTCCATAAGATACACTTGTTGGGTGTAATTTTGGGATAGTCAAAGGTACGAAAACCAGTGGTCAAAATCAATTCAAGGATCAATGATGAATCAAGATCAAACCGTTGTCAAGCACATACAAGCTTAATGGACAGAGGGATCAAATGAGAGGTCAATAAACATGATATCAAGATGCATCTAATATAGTTAGGACTTACCATCTAGGCCCCCACCTTAAAGCCCTGATAGTCAGGCACTAGATACCATAACGGCTGGACCATGAACATCTCAATATGAGAGTAATTGTGGGCTGATGCTCCAATGATCATAATATGCCTCTCCAGATCATATTCGGGAAGTTTGGGTATAAATCAATGAATATTTAGAATTTTGTTAGTTAAGAGGAGTTTAATGGCCAAACACGCACGCTTAAAGACGATTAAAAACTTCTCAATATGATACTAAACTATTCCCATGCTGTTATATGCCTCTCCACGTGATATTGGAGAAATTTGGATATGACTTAACTAGTTTTCAAAGACTATATGTTAAAAAGGCTTTAATAGACAAACCCTTGGAAACTTTTCAAATCATATAGAAAATAAGGTGAACCTCCAATATTTGATTATTATACGCCTCAAGACAAAAAATCATCAACTTTGGACATCTTTTGATAGGATATCTTGATCTACCATCGATTAAGATCTATTTAACCGACGGACCCATACTTAATATCTGAGAAATAACTTGAATCCATTGGAAAAATAAAATTTACGGTTCCATAACTCTTCTCCCATGGTTTCAATACTGTAGACGTCCCTAGATTACTCCCTCCCAGAGTAAGGTCCTAATATGCATTATTCGTTAAGGAACCATACGGTGGCCATGATGACTTCCGACCATTAAAATCAAGATACTTTTCAATTTATGAGGTATTTTCTCATGGGATTAGAGCCATTGGATTTCCGACTCAAAACCCTATCAACTCCATGAGAGCGCCAATGTAAGAATTCTCCATGTGAAAGCTGTTAAAGTCGCAGCAAACGCCATTTACTGAGACAGGTTTTAACCGACACATCTCCTAAACCATAGAGAGTTTTGCCACCAAAATTGATGTACATGTTCTTCATAACTTCCTTTTCAACATATCCTATTCTTATGGCCAAAGATTTTCTGAGGAAGATATTTTGACCGGTAATAGACTGATTAGCTGCTCAGATCTACAACAGAAACCCCTCGATTTCGACGGGCCGTATCTCTCTCAATATTGGCCTCTATCTGTATGCTAAATTTCATGGCCAAAGGACTGCCAATCAAAGAGTAACGTCCCTTGGACCGATACATGTCCAAACAAAGTTGACGAGTTGAGTCACCGGAGTGGAGAGAACTTTTTTTGGGAAGATTTAAACTTGAATGGGATTTAACCTTATCCCATGGAAATAACCGACTAGCAGAGAGAAAGAGAGAGTAATATTTTCTAGCATGCCTAGAGAGAAACAGTTACTTCATAAGCAATTTTTGTCTTAGCAGCGTGTGAATACCAGAAAGAGAAAGTACTAGATATCCTGACAGACAATCAAACTCTAACAAGGAGCAGAGAGGAAGACAGTGTGCCTTCGGATACTTAACAGGTATATGGGCAAATGTGCCCTAGGCACTCATATTTTATTGCTTTTTATATATTTTTTTATTTTTTTAATTTATAATATATTCAAGACCTAAATCAAAAGTTTTTGAGTTTGGATATCGACAACTCAATTCAATTTAAAAATACATGTTTCCGGTTATATAAAAATGTAAACTTCTCTAGTTATTGCAGTGTGTATATATATAAAAAGTAATGATCTTATGAGACCATCCCCTACTTATGTGTGTATGATCCCAAAAGATCACCATTAAATTTACTACGGATCTCTAAAAAAGTTATCACAAGGATGTAGGACTTGACTTTTTTATAGATCCATGCCAACTTTAATGATAATCATTTGGGGTACTACACACATGGGTGGGGAAGGGTCCTCTAGGATCATTACTCATATATATATATATATATATGGAAAACACTACAAAACGCCTATAGGTGAAGATCTACAGCTTTATCACCGTTCAAAGTTTATCACACGGTCACAGATGTCTAATAGTGTTTAAATTTTAATATATTTTTATACAAATAATAATGATCTGAAATTTTGTAGATGTGTGGGCCTTAGTGAGATGCACATGAATAAAATATAAAAAAATAATTTAATTGATAAAAATTACGTAAAATACCCCTATAAAGTTTCAAGGGTAATTTTATCATTTTATTTTGACTATTATTTTTTTAATATTTTATTTTGGTGCGAATTGGTCATATGTATGCACGCTCCAAATTTTAGATAAATCTGATTAGTTTAATAATTATAAAAATTCAAATACTACTGGACAATTGTGCCCGTATGATGAACTTTGGACGGTGATGAGGTGTAGGTGAAGTACTGTAGAACTTTACCTATATGCGTTTTGTAGATACTTCTTATATATATATATATAT